TCTTACTGATAATGCTCGATGATATTCTTTGATGGCATACCTACCTTACTTGTGCAGTTCTCCTTCTCCTTGGCATTGGATGAAAGATACTGCAGCTCCTTCTCCAGGTGCATCCTTTTACTGTATTTTATTTATTGGATTCTATTCAACAAGGTTGCAGCATCACATGTCGTACATTATTTTAAATTTTAGATTTACATGAGGGGAGGAGTATTATGTGGAATAGGGTTCTTTCTTTTTTTTGGTAAATGGGTTCTTTCTTCTTTCTAGGTGACAATTTGTGAATTTAGTCTCAGAATTTTGTCACACCAAATATACAGAATTTAGAATGCTTTTTGTATATTGCATAGTGATGTTATTTCGACAAAACTTCATCTTGTGTGTCACTTGGCTTACAATTTACAAACCACACAAAACAAGAGAACAAAATATGATAACAAGGGTTGGACACTTGAGGTGCTCCAAACACTCCTAAAAACATGATATTTGAGATCATATAAAAATTAGTTGGATTTCTCGTGGGATTTTATTTTAAATCCTTTCGATTCCTTTACATTTTCTAAATCAAATTCCTGAAAGGATTTGATTTCAAAACGGTGTTAAATTTCACGGAACCAACAATCCAATTGAGCAGAAACAATTGGCTAGGGTTTTGTTGAATATGTGAGTGCGTGCTTATGTCATCATGATTGTTGTTAATTGTCTATTGATCTTGAGTAGCATGTTCTTGGAGCCAAAGGTGTTGCCTGAGGATGGCTTTGGTGGTTGAGTGTATGTAAGAGTGGACATTGACAATGACGTCACCCCAAATTTCTAGGGTTTCTCGAGATTTTCATTGAGAGATTGCACAGGAACTCTCCATTTTTGTTAGATAAGATAAATGTCTGTATATACTTTTCCCCTAAATATATACTTCCAAGCTAATCATGCATAAAGGGCCCCCCAAAGCATAAATAACCAACCAACCAAGGCAGTCTTTTACCTATCAGGTGGAACAGTTCATGCAGATGTGACGTAAGTCACAGTTGCAGAGCGGAGCGAATGTGAGAGTGGGTGAGAGTGGCAAAATATAAGTTATACGTAGTGAGCCATGAACAAGAGTGTGTGCGGAGCGCGAGAGCGAACGCCCATTTTAAAAAATTATGTGACTTAGGATGTGATATGTCTTGCTGATATACTAAGTTGCTGAGTAAATCAGCATAACTTTCAATCAAGAGGAGGTTATTAATATTTTTACGGAAGTTAAAAGCAAACAGACACGCCCTCATTAGGTCCCCAACGATTCTTTCATCACCCGTATTTTGCCAACTTATTATTACACAGATTTTGCTACTCTAACCATTTGCAAGTTGAACAGTGAGGGAGATTCAATTGTAATAAGTGTATGATAATAAGAATAGCATTGCACTTGGTCATGCAAGGAGATCTTATAAGAAATCACACACTAAACATTTTACACTTCTAGTAATCAAACGTCTCTAATTCAAATCATTCAAAATGTCTTTCTTGACATAAAAATTAAAAAAAAAATTACGTCCAATAGGATTTGAACCTATACCAACGGTTTAGAAGAACTGTTTCCTATCCATTAGACAGAACATAGAAAAACATTGTTTTTCTGTAGGATGGAGGAAGAATACGAAGAAACTACTGCATTTTTTTTTTTCCCTATCTATGCAATTCTCTAGGCTACCTTGTTCTCACCATTGTTTCATTACTGAGGAGCAAAATCGATTCGATGGAGATCCTGGGCACAAGTGAAGGAAGAGCCATTTCGTGTTACTTAGGATGAATCAAACGTCTGAGTGTCACTTGAGCTCTGGAGTTGCAGCTCATCATACTTGCCTCTGAGAGCTTCGAACCTTGATTCATCACCATAGATATTTGGATCTGCCACTAAATTCTGAACCTTGATACGACCCTCAAGCATGCTTACTACTGCAGGCATGGTAGGCCTAAGTGCGGGAGATGGATTAGTGCATAACAGTGCTACTTGTATCATTCTTAATGCCTCTTCTTTGTTGAAAGTGGAACCCAGTTTTGGATCCAATAACTCCATTAGATTTCCTTTTTGTTGTAAAATGAAGGCCTGAAATAAAAAGAGAAGCCAGTAAAATACCTCTAATAAGTGTACCAATCATGACTCATACAAACGGTATCTATAATTTAATGAATAGGTAAACAAAGAAATTCTTTTGATTTTCTGCCCTTTTTGAACTGTAAAAATTCAGATATCAGCAATTCTTTTCATTTCAGTGTAGAGTGATCTCAAAATCAATATTTAGAACCATGCAAAGCAAACAAACTGGTTTTTAAAACTGTTAATCAAATGCATGCAAAGAAGTAACCGATATTCTTACCCAATCAAGAAGACAGACATAATTCTCATCAGGACGATATTTTATGTTGTTCTTTCCACCAACAATCTCCAATGCAACAACTCCAAAACTATACACATCTGCTTTGTAGGTCAAGTAACCCCATAATGCATATTCTGGTGCCATGTATCCTCTGCACAACAAAGATTGTTCTGTTAGCTTCTATTTTACTATTATGAGGTTTTATGTACAACAAATATGTCAATTAAAGTGGGACACACCACCATATACTTCTACCGGCAGTTGGAAAATCATTCATGAAATTTATAAGGCTATCAAAATATGGTGAAAAGTTCATTAATTCATATATCATTCACATGTGATACCCTCCATTATAAAAGCAGAGCTCCCTTTCTCCGTCAATGCTACCATGGGTTAGCTAAGCATTTATTCAGGCAACTTTGCATGCTGACTATCAAGATATAGATGACCATCTCCGATTGTTCAACATTTTCGTATGAAAATCATTCAAGAATGTCAATTTATGCAGCTAACAACCTTTTCACAAGTATGCTTGCACTGCTAATGCAGAAACCTAAAGTAAACTTTGTTTATGTGGAAAGATTTTGAAAGCTGCCCTATTTTGGTTACTTTTAGGACAGCAACCAACCATGTAATTTCAGCCAACACCATTCATGCATCATTCATGTTCTCACATAGGTCATTCGGAGATGAAATAATATAATTGATGCCTGTATTTAGGTGGCATTTTAAGATGCACAGTTCTAGGAAAATGCAACTGTGTTAAAGAGTATTCTTGAAGGAAAGAGTGAATTGGAAACTCACATGGTTCCAGCAATTCTGGTGCTAATGTGGATGTTCTCCTCTTCGTCAAGCTTGGCCAAACCAAAGTCGGATATTTTAGGGTTAAGATCCCTATCAAGCAGTACATTGGTAGCCTTGATGTCTCTATGAACCATTTTCAATGTAGATTCCTCATGGAGGAAAGATATGCCTTATGCAATGCCAATACAAATTCTTTGCCTTGAAGGCCAGTCCAATTTCAATTTCCCTTCCTTTGGACCTCCTCTTAACATTGATAGTACAATCAAAAGAATTCTACTGTGTTGATTGTTGGTAAATGGTAGTCATATTGTTTGGTTACTTATTCTTATTCAGTCTAATTAACGTAACATACATATGACAAAATAAAAACTACTTACCAAACAAAGCACTGGCGAGGCTATTATTCTCCATGTATTCATATACCAATAGTAATTGTTTACGTTCAGTACAACATCCATACAATCTTACGACATTAGGGTGCTGTAAACCAGAAATCATGCCTATTTCATTCACGAATTCACGATTTCCTTGTTTTGATTTGGAAGAAAGTTGCTTAACAGCAATTACGGTACCATCCAGTAGTATGCCCTGCAATGTTCTCCAAATGTCATAACCACGGGAAAAAAAAAAAAACACACACACACACACACACACAAGAAAAGAAAAAGGGCTCAATATATACCTTGTAGACAGATCCAAAACCACCTTCTCCTATCTTGTTTGCAATATCAAAGTTATTAGTGGCGGCTTTAATTTGTCTAAAGGTAAATAATCCAGTTTGCAAGTCTAATCCTCTCAGATCTGTAGAAGAACTAGGTTAAGAAGTTGAATTGCATCTTACAAAGTAGTAATTTTGCTTTTAGCTGAATATACAAGTGCGTCTTGATTAAAAGGGCAAAGTTTTGAAAGAACTGGATCAAGATATGCATTTAGAAACAGCTTATGTCTTGTTTGATTGCAGAAAAGTTGTAGGAAACAAAAAAATCTGTAACCAACAGCACTACAGAAACCTAAACCTATTGTATATTTGTCTTAGTAATCAAATAGAGGAGAAGGAATTATTCGGAACACAAATTGAATTTTCACAACTTGAATTTTCAACTTGAGTTAGCAACTTACATATCATCAGAAATAGAAAAAGAACCATATACCATTCCTTTCCCTCAGAATTTGACATTGGCATTTTAGGATCCTAGAAAGACTAGTAATCAGTAAAGCTTAGGGTCAAGTGGGCTTGAGAAATTAAAACATACTCTCTCTTCGAATAAAGCATAAAACATTCCTTTCCCTCAGAATTTATATGCTTTATTAGTAATCAAATAAAGCATAAATAACCAACCAACCAAGGCAGTCTTTTACCTATCAGGTGGAACAGTTCATGCAGATGTGACGTAAGTCACAGTTGCAGAGCGGAGCGAATGTGAGAGTGGGTGAGAGTGGCAAAATATAAGTTATACGTAGTGAGCCATGAACAAGAGTGTGGGCGGAGCGCGAGAGCGAACGCCCATTTTAAAAAATTATGTGACTTAGGATGTGATATGTCTTGCTGATATACTAAGTTGCTGAGTAAATCAGCATAACTTTCAATCAAGAGGAGGTTATTAATATTTTTACGGAAGTTAAAAGCAAACAGACACGCCCTCATTAGGTCCCCAACGATTCTTTCATCACCCGTATTTTGCCAACTTATTATTACACAGATTTTGCTACTCTAACCATTTGCAAGTTGAACAGTGAGGGAGATTCAATTGTAATAAGTGTATGATAATAAGAATAGCATTGCACTTGGTCATGCAAGGAGATCTTATAAGAAATCACACACTAAACATTTTACACTTCTAGTAATCAAACGTCTCTAATTCAAATCATTCAAAATGTCTTTCTTGACATAAAAATTAAAAAAAAATTACGTCCAATAGGATTTGAACCTATACCAAAGGTTTAGAAGAACTGTTTCCTATCCATTAGACAGAACATAGAAAAACATTGTTTTTCTGTAGGATGGAGGAAGAATACGAAGAAACTACTGCATTTTTTTTTCCCTATCTATGCAATTCTCTAGGCTACCTTGTTCTCACCATTGTTTCATTACTGAGGAGCAAAATCGATTCGATGGAGATCCTGGGCACAAGTGAAGGAAGAGCCATTTCGTGTTACTTAGGATGAATCAAACGTCTGAGTGTCACTTGAGCTCTGGAGTTGCAGCTCATCATACTTGCCTCTGAGAGCTTCGAACCTTGATTCATCACCATAGATATTTGGATCTGCCACTAAATTCTGAACCTTGATACGACCCTCAAGCATGCTTACTACTGCAGGCATGGTAGGCCTAAGTGCGGGAGATGGATTAGTGCATAACAGTGCTACTTGTATCATTCTTAATGCCTCTTCTTTGTTGAAAGTGGAACCCAATTTTGGATCCAATAACTCCATTAGATTTCCTTTTTGTTGTAAAACGAAGGCCTGAAATAAAAAGAGAAGCCAGTAAAATACCTCTAATAAGTGTACCAATCATGACTCATAGAAACGGTATCTATAATTTAATGAATAGGTAAACAAAGAAATTCTTTTGATTTTCTGCCCTTTCTGAACTGCAAAAATTCAGATATCAGCAATTCTTTTCATTTCAGTGTAGAGTGATCTCAAAATCAATATTTAGAACCATGCAAAGCAAACAAACTGGTTTTTAAAACTGTTAATCAAATGCATGCAAAGAAGTAACCGATATTCTTACCCAATCCAGAAGACAGACATAATTCTCATCAGGACGATATTTTATGTTGTTCTTTCCAGCAACAATCTCCAATGCAACAACTCCAAAACTATACACATCTGCTTTGTAGGTCAAGTAACCCCATAATGCATATTCTGGTGCCATGTCTCCTCTGCACAACAAAGATTGTTCTGTTAGCTTCTATTTTACTATTATGAGGTTTTATGTACAACAAATATGTCAATTAAAGTGGGACACACCACCATATACTTCTACCGGCAGCTGGAAAATCATTCATGAAATTTATAAGGCTATCAAAATATGGTGAAAAGTTCATTAATTCATATATCATTCACATGTGATACCCTCCATTATAAAAGCAGAGCTCTCTTTCTCCGTCAAAGCTACCATGGGTTAGCTAAGCATTTATTCAGGCAACTTTGCATGCTGACTATCAAGATATAGATGACCATCTCCGATTGTTCAACATTTTCGTATGAAAATCATTCAAGAATGTCAATTTATGCAGCTAACAACCTTTTCACAAGTATGCTTGCACTGCTAATGCAGAAACCTAAAGTAAACTTTGTTTATGTGGAAAGATTTTGAAAGCTGCCCTATTTTGGTTACTTTTAGGACAGCAACCAACCATGTAATTTCAGCCAACACCATTCATGCATCATTCATGTTCTCACATAGGTCATTCGGAGATGAAATAATATAATTGATGCCTGTATTTAGGTGGCATTTTAAGATGCACAGTTCTAGGAAAATGCAACTGTGTTAAAGAGTATTCTTGAAGGAAAGAGTGAATTGGAAACTCACATGGTTCCAGCAATTCTGGTGCTAATGTGGGTGTTCTCCTCTTCGTCAAGCTTGGCCAAACCAAAGTCGGATATTTTAGGGTTAAGATCCCTATCAAGCAGTACATTGGTAGCCTTGATGTCTCTATGAACCATTTTCAATGTAGATTCCTCATGGAGGAAAGATATGCCTTTTGCAATGCCAATACAAATTCTTTGCCTTGAAGGCCAGTCCAATTTCAATTTCCCTTCCTTTGGACCTGCTCTTAACATTGATAGTACAATCAAAAGAATTCTACTGTGTTGATTGTTGGTAAATGGTAGTCATATTGTTTGGTTACTTATTCTTATTCAGTCTAATTAACGTAACATACATATGACAAAATAAAAACTACTTACCAAACAAAGCACTGGCGAGGCTATTATTCTCCATGTATTCATATACCAATAGTAATTGTTTACGTTCAGTACAACATCCATACAATCTTACGACATTAGGGTGCTGTAAACCAGAAATCATGCCTATTTCATTCACGAATTCACGATTTCCTTGTTTTGATTTGGAAGAAAGTTGCTTAACAGCAATTACGGTACCATCCAGTAGTATGCCCTGCAATGTTCTCCAAATGTCATAACCACGGGAAAAAAAAAAAAAAACACACACACACACACACACAAGAAAAGAAAAAGGGCTCAATATATACCTTGTAGACAGATCCAAAACCACCTTCTCCTATCTTGTTTGCAATATCAAAGTTATTAGTGGCGGCTTTAATTTGTCTAAAGGTAAATAATCCAGTTTGCAAGTCTAATCCTCTCAGATCTGTAGAAGAACTAGGTTAAGAAGTTGAATTGCATCTTACAAAGTAGTAATTTTGCTTTTAGCTGAATATACAAGTGCGTCTTGATTAAAAGGGCAAAGTTTTGAAAGAACTGGATCAAGATATGCATTTAGAAACAGCTTATGTCTTGTTTGATTGCAGAAAAGTTGTAGGAAACAAAAAAATCTGTAACCAACAGCACTACAGAAACCTAAACCTATTGTATATTTGTCTTAGTAATCAAATAGAGGAGAAGGAATTATTCGGAACACAACTTGAATTTTCACAACTTGAATTTTCAACTTGAGTTAGCAAGTTACATATCATCAGAAATAGAAAAAGAACCATATACCATTCCTTTCCCTCAGAATTTGACATAGGCATTTTAGGATCCTAGAAAGACTAGTAATCAGTAAAGCTTAGGGTCAAGTGGGCTTGAGAAATTAAAACATACTCTCTCTTCGAATAATCATTCTTTTCCGGAAAAAATAAACTGATTTCTACCTTACTATAAAATTGTGAACTCCCTAATTTGGATGATGGTTGCAGCCTACAAATAATATGTGAGTTCATTTGGTATAATACTTTAAATTGAACAGCCATATCTGCATCTGTTCTAAAAGACTCATAAGAACTATTATAATCTGTCCTACAGTGTTCCAAGGTCATCTCAATAGAATAGACATTGAAAAGTTCTGGTTATCCATTCCAAATCAATCTTCATGCAGTAGATTACACTACCTTGTTCCCTTGAGTTTCTGTTCCCAAAAACGCCTTTCCACCAAGCAATACCAAGAACTATGAGAATGAGGAATAATGCCGAAGCCACAGCTCCAACTATAATGGATATCTTCTTTTCTCCATCAGGAGGGTTGTCTATAAAAAACAAAAGCAGATAAGATAGACTGTTAAATTGCATACACTACTTCTGTCGGCATCCAGAATAATCAAATATTTGAAATTCCAATGATAAAGTTTTATTTGATAACTCAAATAAAATATAGAACTGTAGGAGAAGAAGAAAAGGCATTGAATCTTTTGTGTTTTCCCTACTTTCAAATTAGCCTGGTTTAAAATTTTCACATTCGCGTGTTGAAGTCAAGGAAAAACTTCATCATTGATATGTATTAATATTTTGTAGGTCTTCTAATACGGTAGACATGATCGAGCATTTAGCTCTAGTGTTATCTCCTCCTTCCCACATAGGAGGCTGAGGGTTTCAAGTCCCCATTGATGCAAAAGTGGTGTGTGTCTTACCTACCCAGAGAGAGAGAGAGAGAGAAAGAGTACCAATGCTTAATTATAAGAATGATTAATGAAGTCTTCACACAGCACGAGTGCACGACTTACCAGATTCCACAGAAATTGCTGACACAAGAGGGCCATAGGTTCCTCTAATAGGGACGGCTGTTGTTCCTTTCCCAGCCCAATGAAAGCGAATTTCTAAAGTTTTATCCTTCACAATTGTTTTCAATTTCTTTATAAACACCTTATCAACCCCTTGTGCTTCACGTTCAATATCAAAATCCTTCAAAACTAGCTCATTCTGTAACAAACTGATTTAATCAAACATAGTTTCGTTGCATACTAAAATTGCAGTTATAATGTTATTAACTACCTGTATATAAACATGAAACATCCGTCTTCCAAGACTCTGAAAAGATCGGTTATCTCTGAAAATTATCTCAGCAAAGTGGAGTGTCACAGTATAGTTCCCATTTGCCAAGCAACGCCCATAATAAGTGAGAGATAGAGGAGACAGGCGAGCCCTTGTGAACAATTCAGAGTCATTCATTGTCAAGACAGATACATTTTTCGCTATGTAATCTTTATCTGCCTCACGTCTCCAGAAGTCCCCAGTGGTACTAGTTCCCCAATTTGCTACTTTAGGAACAAATTTTGCTGAATTTCCTGGGTCTTCATCTGCTTCATAAGTGGTATTTCCGATAGTAATTTTTGCTCCGCCGCAATTGATATGAAATGAATATTGGTCTTCAGCAAGGAAGCAACATATCAATGGTTATAAAAAAATGATGGAGCACAAAAAGAAGACCAGAGAGAAAATTTGATTAAAAAAAAAAAAAATTACCTATGTTGTATATATGTATATTGATATTTAATAAAAATATTTTCCTATACAAAATGAAAGGTCAACCAAGTGAACTTGCAGCCTGTTTAAGTATCAACAGATAGGGCTTGAGGATGTATCTAAAATATAATTTTAAGCATAACCATCACATTGTAATTCTGAATAATATATACTTACTTTCTGAACAAGGATAATATTCCTTCAAGCACTTTCCCAATTCCCTAAATCGATGTAGTATGAGAAAAAGGTTAAGATGCAAAGTTATACATAATAAAAGCGAACTAAAATATATCGCAGCTCTTCAAAGTTCAACACAAATAAGTTAGAAGCTTACAAGTTGTTCCCATTTGAGAAGCTTCTGAACAAGTTTCTAATAAACAACGGACCAAACTTTATATTAACAGAATTAAAAGTGAATGAAGAAAAGGTATGCAGCTCAATCTCAGGGAAGCTGAAATCAAGAAGGGAAAAAGATACTTACAGGCTATCCGGACAGAAATTCGGTACAGAGTCCTCCGAAAAGTTATTGTAAGAGAGATCTATATGGCTGCACAAAATTATATTCATATTAAACTCATTTTTAAGTCCCTTAAAAATCACGGGAAAAAAAGAAAAGAAATGAAAAGATCAAGAGACATATTAGCAGAAGATTGGAATTGATCTAATTTTGGAAGAAATGTCACTTTAACAGTCTATGACCTTTTTCATAAGTAGTAGTTCAGCAGCTCATTTTTGATCATATTCATTTGGGCTTTATTTTTCTTTCTTATTACCTAAACCATCGTAAAGCAAATCCAGACCCTGCTGAATTATGTTATTGGCAACAAAATTTCCATGTGGGTCAAACATCGAGCATCCAACAATGAAGAGTAGAATCCAATTAATCTTGGATCCTTCTTCTTCTTCTTCTGTTTTTCTTTTTTCTTTTTTCTGTTCACAAGTTGCACACAGATGACAAAGCAAGCAGAACAGTAGGCAATAAGGATTGCTTCACCAATGCATGAGGCAGAAACAGCACTGGAGACTCGATCAGTGAATGAATTTTGTGTGTATATACGTATTGGCACATATCTACTGTATCCATGAATATAAAAATTAGAATATTAAACTAAAAAGAATTCAGGATGAAGAACTTACTAGCTAGGACCTCTCCCCTTGATCCACTCTGGTATAGGTCCAGAAAGCAGGTTGCTTGTCAGATACCTAATCAGTGATCAACAGTCGCATTCCAATTACATTAATATTGCAATTATTCCAATATGTAATGCAGAAAAAAACACAAGTGGCATGAACATCAAATATCTGTGAAATTCCAATATGTAATGCAAAATAAAACATAAGTGGGACGAACTTCATAAATCTGTGAGATAATCTTAATATGAAGTATAGGAAGGCTTTTTCTACATAATAAAAAGGCTTTTTATTATACTACCATTTGAAAGAAAACCAAGGTTGGAACAGTCATGCGTGGATCAACACAATAAGGCATTGCCAAACTACATACAAAAATTTACAAGGAAGACTCATGTACATCAAGAATTAATTAAATGGCAGGTTGCCCTACTGAATTTAGTTACTTACATGTCCGTCACATTTGTGAGTCCGTCAAGGTTTGGAATCTCCCCTTCCAACTTATTGAAGCTGAGGTCTCTGCCGAAAAAAAAAAAAAAAAAAAATCCTTTGTCATACTAATAAGTAAAAACCAATAACTGCACACACACACACATATATATATTACTCAGTAGACTAGTCACTAGAATTAGTATGAACTCCTTAGCTAATAACTGCATATATATTACTCAGTAGTAATTCAGAGTGAGCAATCTCTTGCATTAGACAGTTTTGAGTTTCCCTTTTTTTCTCCCATACCATATCTGTGCCAAGATTCTTAGTCTGCGGGATCTTAGCACACAGTGAAACAAGTAAAGACCACGATAGTGGATGAAATTAATCCTTTACCTCTGCATTATTGATACAGTTAGCAAATACATACAGATGTTTACTAGATTTCTAGGAAGTTCATACTAATCAAAGATGCACTTGTCATGAATGAAAAGGAAATTAAAGAATTCAGAAAACAAGAAGTAATAGAATTACAAATATTTCAACTCTTTCATTTCTGCTATATATTCAGGGATTGCATCAGATATATTGCAGCTCCTCAAAATCCTGCAACATAAACCAGATACATACAAGTATTATTGCAGGGGACTACAAATGACCATACTTTGATCATTTTTCAATGTTAGTATGCATGACTCACAAATATTGCATTCCTTTCATGTCTCCTAGCTGCGGAAAAGCTGAAACTGGATTTCCTCCATATAAGTCACTGATCCTTCTGCACAGGGAACCGGTCAAGAATAATTGCTTCCCACATTAATTATCTTTTCTGAAAAGCACCAGAGGATGTTACTGAAAGAAAATAAAAAATCTCTAGAAATGTGACCTGAAAATGTTTAACTCACAATTCGGTTAAGTAATTTAAGACAGAAATGCTAGAAGGTATGGGTCCTTCGAAACCACCAGCTTGTATCTCTCTGTTGACAAGAAGTATCAAATGTGTAAAACGCACCAGAAAAAGCAGGTTTCAGAGAACTAAAATGGGCTGTTCAGTGAAATTCTAACTTTTTGTAACTCTAATTTCAGATAACTGTTTGAGGAAAGTAGCAACTGAAAAGAACTTTTGAACTACTTCTTTATTTTCTGTTACCTAAGAACAAAAGTATTCTTGTAAAACTGAACAATGTATACTTTAACAGTTAATACTTACAACATCCGAAGTTGTTTCCAACTTTGGAAACTGGGTAATTTTCCAGTAAAGTTGTTGCCGCTTAACCTACTGCATTAGAGAAGAGTTAAGATTACCAAAACATCACGGTGCATTTGGGAGCACCGAATCGGAGCATTGGAATTGAAAGAGGAGAAATTCCGATTCAGTGCTACCATATGAACTCTTATAACCAATGAGCCATTTGTCTAGATCATATGAACTCTCCTCCTCAAATGGGAGGTGGAGTGTTCAAGCCCTGCTAGGGTAAGGCTAATATTGTGAGTGTGCGTGTTTGCTTGAACTTTTAAATAAAAAAAATCCCTTCAATTCATATGATTACAACATTATATAGGCCATTAATACACTCACAGTTCTGTCAATTTGGTTAGATTGCTGAGCTCCATTGGCAACTCTCCCGTGAGATTGTTATCATTGAGAATTCTACATTGACCAAAGGTTACAAAAATTATGCAATTAGTTAAAAATCTAGAATAACTATACATATATATATATATATGAGAAAGGACTGACAGATTCACCAAGTTGGGCAGCTTCCCAAGCTCAGCTGGAACAGTACCACTAAATTGATTTATCTCTAAGCTCCTGAAAATTAAATTTCCATCATAATTACAGTTTCTGTTTGTTTGTGTGTGAGAGAAAGTGTGTTTGTGTACATACAGATAAACGAGAGTTGTAATGTTTCCCAAGTAGGGTGGGATGGGTCCTGATAAGCGGTTGATAGTAAGAGACCTACATGCAGTATTTTGACACTAATTAATTCAAGAAAACAATTAATCAATTAGTGTTTGGCTAAAATCTTATAGTCAGATAAACCATAAATTTCAGAAATTGCTCACATATATTCCAATTTGGTAGAAGCCCATTCCTGGGGTATTGTACCACTGAGATAGTTGCGAGTGAAATCACTACAAAGAGCACAATATATTTTCAAGTTAAATACAAAATATACATGTATATGTGTATATATATATATATATATATATATGTATATAAATGGACTAATTCTTCTTACATTGTCTTGATGTACGGTAACTTTACCAAAGATGGCGGTAGCACACCAGCAAGGTCCTGCCCTTTAAGAAATCTGTTTTTCAAAGAAACAGGGGCTCGAATTTTAGTTTGAACATATTATACAATCCTAGTCAGCATATATAGTAAAAAAATACTAATATTAAATAAACAGAGATTCACATTTACCAACATTATTCTTAGTTAATACTTTCTCATTGACTCCACCATTGAAGAGCCCACACGTCACCACATATATAATAAGAATTTCATATTGTGACTAACAAGTGGCGTAGACTATATACTAATAATAATATATACAGACACTTTTACATACTACTATAGTACTCCCTCTTGATGGATTTTAGTAAATGTAAAAGGAGAATGAACAAAGAATTTTGATTTCTTTTTTATTAAGTTTAAGCTAACACAAATTCACGATAAATAGATACATATATATATATATATATATATATATATATATATCAAGCGCATACATGCTAATGACGTGGCATACGCCATTAGGAAAAGAGCAATTGCAGTTGAGAGTGTTGTTATGAATGAGTGGTGTTTCGTTGGGTCTTGGTGTTTGCCAGTTCGAGTTCCTGGTATCACAAGGGTTCAGCCTGAAATCCCAATCTTTTTTCCCCAATTGTGCAGCTATTTCCCGAAGAGCATTCACTGCAAAATCAAAATTCATACAATTAAGGTGAACAAACCATCTATTTAATTTGCACCAATAATACTTGAAGATCCAAACAAAGTTGCAAGTTAGAACCTAAATGAACACCTTAACACAGTTATATATATATATATATATATATCATATTTTCTGGAATTTCACTCCAAGAAAGAGAAAAAATTAACTATTAGAGAAAAAATTGAACTTACAAGGAATATTAAAGTAAACTAGCGAGATGGATTTATTTTATAGTAAATCAGATTCATATGTGATATTGCTAGAACTCTATGATCAAATCTTGAAAACTTGGATTCCAATATATTTTTGAGTTCAATATCATTGTTAGCAATCATTTATTTAAAAGTTTAAAAAACTTATGTAGTGCAAGTACAAGCATGGTCAAACTTCCTATATGTATGATTAGTGTGTGAAAAATATGTAATAAAACTATGAACAAATTTAAGGAGAAGGAAAAAAATTGTATATGTTAACTTGAATCTCAAAATGGAAAAGACTGAATGAAATAAAAATGTAGAAGACTTTCTTACTTTCATCCTCAGGAAGAGTCCCATTGCTTGCTTGAGCTCCACTTGCTCCAAAAATACATATTAGTATAAGCAAGATAAGCCAAACAAATATGGTGCTAGGCATCTCCTCCTTGATTAATTCCTTGAGCTATACATACGTGAATATATATATATATATATATATATATATATCCAACAATTATATTGAAGAAGGTGACTTGTGGGACCAGCACTCTTATTAAATAAAGTGGAGAGTTGGTGTTAGTATAATGTATAGTAATTTGTATGCAAGTCAAGCTACTTGTTTTTGACAAAGGAATTAATTTATTTAATTTATGGTTCAGGTCATTTTCATTCTTGTTAAAGTCATTCATGCAAATCAAGACTCTGCAATCAGTGCTATATAAAAAAATTATTATTGAAAACGAAACATTTGGCCACTATTTTATTTCTACTTGCATATAATGGTTCATACTATATATATATATATATATCAGTCAAATCAATTCGTTTAAGGTTGTGGAGATGAGAACAATTCACTCATGCTGATGCTCTGTTAATGACTATTAAAATAATGTAGCATTGCTTTCATAATGAAAATAGTGAAGTCATTGTTAAAGTCATTGTCATGAGGTTGGTGTCAATCAAATCAACGCGGTTAGGGGTGTGGACGTACATAACGTACATGTGGCTCCACACCCATGAATTCAGCTGTGCACAGCCACTCGTTCAACCATTTGGTTGTTTGTTTTATGTTTCCATCCCTCAATAATGTTTTGTCTCCCACCCCCAGTAGGAAAGAAGTGAGATGAAACGTTTTATGTCAATATTGATTCTCTATATCTTTTAAGATTTTTGTCATTTATTATTGTTTCAAGCATTAAAAAGATAAAATGGTTAATATGTTAGATAAATTTGAATCTCAAAAAAAGGAGGTGTAATTTAAATCACATGATGCGGGAACTGGAATAAGAGCAAATTCGAGAGCGGGAGCTACAAGGCAGCAAAATTAAATAACAAATAGTAAAAATTTGAACGAAAACGTGAACAAAATATAGAAGTGAAAGCGCGCTCAAAACGTTAAAACGGTACTTGTTGAAAAAAATTATATTATTTTATTTTATTTTTTTCCCGAATAGTTGTAGCGAGGGATAGGGTTTTGGTAGCAATCAAATTAATAGGATGTCATGAGGTTGGTGTCAATCAAATCAACGCGGTTAGGGGTGTGGACGTACATAACGTACATGTGGCTCCACACCCATGAATTCAGCTGTTCACAGCCACTCGTTCAACCATTTGGTTGTTTGTTTTATGTTTCCATCCCTCAATAATGTTTTGTCTCCCACCCCCAGTAGGAAAGAAGTGAGATGAAACGTTTTATGTCAATATTGATTCTCTATATCTTTTAAGATTTTTGTCATTTATTATTGTTTCAAGCATTAAAAAGATAAAATGGTTAATATGTTAGATAAATTTGAATCTCAAAAAAAAGAGGTGTAATTTAAATCACATGATGCGGGAACTGGAATAAGAGCAAATTCGAGAGCGGGAGCTACAAGGCAGCAAAATTAAATAACAAATAGTAAAAATTTGAACGAAAACGTGAACAAAATATAAAAGTGAAAGCGCGCTCAAAACGTTAAAACGGTACTTGTTGAAAAAAATTATATTATTTTATTTTATTTTTTTCCCGAATAGTTGTAGCGAGGGATAGGGTTTTGGTAGCAATCAAATTAATAGGATGTCATGAGGTTGGTGTCAATCAAATCAACGCGGTTAGGGGTGTGGACGTACATAACGTACATGTGGCTCCACACCCATGAATTCAGCTGTTCACAGCCACTCGTTCAACCATTTGGTTGTTTGTTTTATGTTTCCATCCCTCAATAATGTTTTGTCTCCCACCCCCAGTAGGAAAGAAGTGAGATGAAACGTTTTATGTCAATATTGATTCTCTATATCTTTTAAGATTTTTGTCATTTATTATTGTTTCAAGCATTAAAAAGATAAAATGGTTAATATGTTAGATAAATTTGAATCTCAAAAAAAGGAGGTGTAATTTAAATCACATGATGCGGGAACTGGAATAAGAGCAAATTCGAGAGCGGGAGCTACAAGGCAGCAAAATTAAATAACAAATAGTAAAAATTTGAACGAAAACGTGAACAAAATATAAAAGTGAAAGCGCGCTCAAAACGTTAAAACGGTACTTGTTGAAAAAAATTATATTATTTTATTTTATTTTTTTCCCGAATAGTTGTAGCGAGGGATAGGGTTTTGGTAGCAATCAAATTAATAGGATGTCATGAGGTTGGTGTCAATCAAATCAACGCGGTTAGGGGTGTGGACGTACATAACGTACATGTGGCTCCACACCCATGAATTCAGCTGTTCACAGCCACTCGTTCAACCATTTGGTTGTTTGTTTTATGTTTCCATCCCTCAATAATGTTTTGTCTCCCACCCCCAGTAGGAAAGAAGTGAGATGAAACGTTTTATGTCAATATTGATTCTCTATATCTTTTAAGATTTTTGTCATTTATTATTGTTTCAAGCATTAAAAAGATAAAATGGTTAATATGTTAGATAAATTTGAATCTCAAAAAAAGGAGGTGTAATTTAAATCACATGATGCGGGAACTGGAATAAGAGCAAATTCGAGAGCGGGAGCTACAAGGCAGCAAAATTAAATAACAAATAGTAAAAATTTGAACGAAAACGTGAACAAAATATAGAAGTGAAAGCGCGCTCAAAACGTTAAAACGGTACTTGTTGAAAAAAATTATATTATTTTATTTTATTTTTTTCCCGAATAGTTGTAGCGAGGGATAGGGTTTTGGTAGCAATCAAATTAATAGGATGTCATGAGGTTGGTGTCAATCAAATCAACGCGGTTAGGGGTGTGGACGTACATAACGTACATGTGGCTCCACACCCATGAATTCAGCTGTTCACAGCCACTCGTTCAACCATTTGGTTGTTTGTTTTATGTTTCCATCCCTCAATAATGTTTTGTCTCCCACCCCCAGTAGGAAAGAAGTGAGATGAAACGTTTTATGTCAATATTGATTCTCTATATCTTTTAAGATTTTTGTCATTTATTATTGTTTCAAGCATTAAAAAGATAAAATGGTTAATATGTTAGATAAATTTGAATCTCAAAAAAAGGAGGTGTAATTTAAATCACATGATGCGGGAACTGGAATAAGAGCAAATTCGAGAGCGGGAGCTACAAGGCAGCAAAATTAAATAACAAATAGTAAAAATTTGAACGAAAACGTGAACAAAATATAGAAGTGAAAGCGCGCTCAAAACGTTAAAACGGTACTTGTTGAAAAAAATTATATTATTTTATTTTATTTTTTTCCCGAATAGTTGTAGCGAGGGATAGGGTTTTGGTAGCAATCAAATTAATAGGATGTCATGAGGTTGGTGTCAATCAAATCAACGCGGTTAGGGGTGTGGACGTACATAACGTACATGTGGCTCCACACCCATGAATTCAGCTGTTCACAGCCACTCGTTCAACCATTTGGTTGTTTGTTTTATGTTTCCATCCCTCAATAATGTTTTGTCTCCCACCCCCAGTAGGAAAGAAGTGAGATGAAACGTTTTATGTCAATATTGATTCTCTATATCTTTTAAGATTTTTGTCATTTATTATTGTTTCAAGCATTAAAAAGATAAAATGGTTAATATGTTAGATAAATTTGAATCTCAAAAAAAAGAGGTGTAATTTAAATCACATGATGCGGGAACTGGAATAAGAGCAAATTCGAGAGCGGGAGCTACAAGGCAGCAAAATTAAATAACAAATAGTAAAAATTTGAACGAAAACGTGAACAAAATATAAAAGTGAAAGCGCGCTCAAAACGTTAAAACGGTACTTGTTGAAAAAAATTATATTATTTTATTTTATTTTTTTCCCGAATAGTTGTAGCGAGGGATAGGGTTTTGGTAGCAATCAAATTAATAGGATGTCATGAGGTTGGTGTCAATCAAATCAACGCGGTTAGGGGTGTGGACGTACATAACGTACATGTGGCTCCACACCCATGAATTCAGCTGTTCACAGCCACTCGTTCAACCATTTGGTTGTTTGTTTTATGTTTCCATCCCTCAATAATGTTTTGTCTCCCACCCCCAGTAGGAAAGAAGTGAGATGAAACGTTTTATGTCAATATTGATTCTCTATATCTTTTAAGATTTTTGTCATTTATTATTGTTTCAAGCATTAAAAAGATAAAATGGTTAATATGTTAGATAAATTTGAATCTCAAAAAAAGGAGGTGTAATTTAAATCACATGATGCGGGAACTGGAATAAGAGCAAATTCGAGAGCGGGAGCTACAAGGCAGCAAAATTAAATAACAAATAGTAAAAATTTGAACGAAAACGTGAACAAAATATAAAAGTGAAAGCGCGCTCAAAACGTTAAAACGGTACTTGTTGAAAAAAATTATATTATTTTATTTTATTTTTTTCCCGAATAGTTGTAGCGAGGGATAGGGTTTTGGTAGCAATCAAATTAATAGGATGTCATGAGGTTGGTGTCAATCAAATCAACGCGGTTAGGGGTGTGGACGTACATAACGTACATGTGGCTCCACACCCATGAATTCAGCTGTTCACAGCCACTCGTTCAACCATTTGGTTGTTTGTTTTATGTTTCCATCCCTCAATAATGTTTTGTCTCCCACCCCCAGTAGGAAAGAAGTGAGATGAAACGTTTTATGTCAATATTGATTCTCTATATCTTTTAAGATTTTTGTCATTTATTATTGTTTCAAGCATTAAAAAGATAAAATGGTTAATATGTTAGATAAATTTGAATCTCAAAAAAAGGAGGTGTAATTTAAATCACATGATGCGGGAACTGGAATAAGAGCAAATTCGAGAGCGGGAGCTACAAGGCAGCAAAATTAAATAACAAATAGTAAAAATTTGAACGAAAACGTGAACAAAATATAAAAGTGAAAGCGCGCTCAAAACGTTAAAACGGTACTTGTTGAAAAAAATTATATTATTTTATTTTATTTTTTTCCCGAATAGTTGTAGCGAGGGATAGGGTTTTGGTAGCAATCAAATTAATAGGATGTCATGAGGTTGGTGTCAATCAAATCAACGCGGTTAGGGGTGTGGACGTACATAACGTACATGTGGCTCCACAC